GCCCACCATGAAAGCTGGAACGCCCACTAGTGGGCAGTAGGGACCAGGCTACCACTGGTTTATACCATATTTTTTGGAGTATAAGACACACCTTTTTCCCACAAAAAGAGGCTGAAAATCTGGGTGCATCTTATACACTGAATACAGCATTTTTTTGCCTCCAGAAACCCCGCCCCTTTGCAAAAATGGTCATGCATAGCCTTTAGAAGGGTTCCAGAGTGCTCATGGGGGCTGGGGAGGGCAAAAATGAGCAAAAACAGGCCGTGTTTTGCTCCCCCAGGAGCACTCTATAAGCCTTCTAAAGGCTATGCATGCCCTTTTTTTTTTTGACAAAAGCCCCATTTTTGCAAAAAATGGTTTGTTTTTTGTTCATTTGGGGGGGCAGCCCCCAGGAGCTCCCTACAAGCCTCCTAAAGGCTATGCATGCCCTTTTTTGACAAAAGGGGCCTGTTTCCGTGAAAAATGGGCCATTTTGTGGAGGTCTGCAGAGTGCAAAACCTTTTTTTTTAATTTGCCTCTTCAAAATTTTGGTGCGTCTTATATTCCAGTGCGTCTTATACTCTGTACTCCATATACACTACTTAGAATAGAAATTTCCAAATTGACTTTCATGGCTTGGCCATAGAGCTTCATTGTTCAGATAATTTAACCAAAAGATTATAATTCTATAATTTAGGAATGACCTGAGCATCTTAATTCAGCCCATTATTCAATGCAAAATCCATATGAGCATCACTGACCGATGACTATAGTATACAGCCATTGTTTGAAAACTTCTTGGAAAGAAGAAATCACTGCTTATGTGGCAGCCTGTAACCCTGGCTGACCTTGTGTAGTCAGAAAGTTTCTACTGATATCTAATTTTCAGCTCTTAGTATGAATTGCCTAACTACACTGTTGGATGAAGTTGAGATTAAAATGCATATTTCTTCTTAACTATATCCCCAATATTTGGAAAGCAGCAAGACATCAAGATATTTCAGCCATGGCACTGGACTAAAAGGATTCTCTTTAGTGAAAACCACTTGATTGCAAAACACTTGCAACTGTGGGTTGATATACTATATGTGTTTCTCAGAATTTGAATTAAGCAGTTTTTCTTCTGATGAAGGGAAAAACACAACTTTGTTTATTGTGTGATACTATCATTTCCAGGCTTTTATTTCCTCCTTCTTTTTTCTTATCATGATTTTGAAGGCATTTGTTGTTAAACCTATTGTGCATATCTAACATTTTTCTTCTGTTCATTCATATATAACAGACATGATGACAACAGTGATGTCAAGACAGCATACAAATGGGTTGCACAAATAAATTATAAAGCTATTTGCAAACTTATATGACAGAGAAAAACATTTCCTCTCTAATTACTATCAGACTTGTAAATTTAAGTGATCCCAGTAGTTCCTCATTGAGGCCTAGGAAGGAGGATGATAAGGGAGGGAGGTTAAATGCAAGACTTGAGTTTGCTTCTTAGTAGTGGCCCTAAATGAACTCTGCTAATATTCATACAGGTGAAAAGCTGCCATTATTTCAATAATATTTGATGGGAGCAAAACAAAATCTGCTCTCCGGTATCAATCATACTGAGAAAAGTGAAGAGGAAAGGTAGATCAAATTCACAGAAGGCACATTGTAACTCTTTATAATAAACAGCTTTTATCAGTTATTTAGACGTCCCTCTGCCATAATAAGCAATCTTATGATGTATCATTTCAAGATTTCAGAAGGGCTGGCCGGTTGAGGACTAGAAAGACTCCAGAGCATTTTGCTGGCTCTTTCCTCTGGTACCAATTAGGACAATGCCTCACAATAGCAGGTCCCTTAAAAAAGAGAGGCCTTGGATTCAAGGAGACAGAAATTACACAGGGCTCTGCTGTGAGGGATTTAAAGGAGCTGCGTGATTGAATAACATGAGCTTTATGTAATGTGGAACAATTCTGACTGTTTTGAAAAATTGACAACACCCACTGAAGATTACTGCACGTCAACAGCTGCTTTATAGATTATCCCCCTCAGCTTTTCAGGAACAAGCATTCATTCTGTGAAAATACATGGCATTTCTTGAACATTATGGTGCCATCAGCAGTTTCTCAACCTGTTTTACAGTTTCCTTCAATCTCTTTCCAGCTGTGCTCAAAGCATGTGTGTGTTTAGTAGCTTTGAAGCAGAAAAAGTGGCCATGATGAAGAACTAAGACATTTTCTCCTGAGCCCAAGAAAGTTCACAGAAGAGAGATTTTGTGTGTGGGAGAGAGCCGTTTGTTTTTGGTGTGTGTGGGGGAGCCATTTGAAGTGTTTACTTCAATTGTTCATGATATTTCAGCATGATGAGGCTTAGAAAGATAAAGATAAAGTTTACCCCTCGCACATATGTGCTAGTTGTTCCCGACCCTAGGGGGCGATGCTCATATTCATTTCAAAGTTGAAGAGCCAGCACTGCCCGAAGACATATCTGTGGTCATGTGGCCAGCATGACTAAATACCGAAGGCGCATGGGACGCTATTACCTTCCCATTAAGGTGATTCCTATTTTTCTACTTATATTTTTATGTGCTTTCAAACTGCTAGATTGGCAGAAGCTGGGACAAGTAATGGGAACTCACTCTGTTCTGTGGCACTAGGGATTCAAATCGGGGTGGCTCAGTGGCTAAGATGCTGAGCTTGTCGATCAGAAAGCTCGGCAATTCGGCAGTTCGAATCCATAGCACCACGTAATGAGTGAGGTCCCGATACTTGTCCCGGCTTCTGCCAACCTAGGGCCCAAGAAAGTTCACAGAAGAGAGGTTTTTTTGCAGGGGGAGGACATTTGTTTTAAGTGTTTACTTCAATTGTTCATGATATTTCAGCACGATGAAGCTTAGGAATTTAATTTATTTTCTTTATTTTAAATGAAACATGAATAACAGAATAACAGAGTTGGAAGGGACCTTAGAGATCTTCTACTTCAACCGCCTGCTCAGGCAGGAATCCCTGTACCATTTCAGACAAATGGTTATCCAATCTCTTCTTTTAAACTTCCAGTATTGGAGCATCAATGACATTCTAAAGTTCTCTGGATTTTGCAGTTTTCTATACTTAGTGGCAGCATATATGACTAAATCAAGCTGACTTCCATCATATGTGGAACATGAGGCAACTATCTTCTGGGGAAGTAATGGATAATTGAAGATGGCTCTGCTAAAAGCAGAGCCTATGATCACAACAAAATGAAGAGTTGGTGGGTAGACCAGTTCTTCATAATTCCTCTCTGGACAAAAAGAGGACTTGAGATCACCCACAAATGTTCCAGGTGACTGCAAGACTGCAGTCTCTAGTGGACTTAGAGTTCTGGGAGATGACAAACAGCCATTTTGCTGAATCCATATTTGATGCCATCAAAAAGGACATTTGGCACTCATACTTCCTTTTCTAATCACTTTTGGAAATTGCTTGTTAACTGCTTTTCAGCTTTTAAGAACCTTTGGATCTCCAGGTTTTACAGCACTCAATTGAATGAGTTTCATTCAATCCTTACCAAAAGAAGTTTTAAATACAGGTTGAAGGACTTAAATCTTTTTGAATAAACAGCAAAAACCTTGGATTTTAGAAAGGGTCCAGATAAATTTGAAATAAGATTTTGAAATTAATTATAAAAATCTATCCCATGAGAAAATGCTTTTGTTCTGATTTCTTTTTTAAAAAATGTAAGATTTTAAAAATTGGACACTAGAGGGAAATTGAAGGAACTAAAAATTACAACTAACGGACAAAGTACTGAAACTTGACTTAAGAATACGAAATAAATAAAAGTATTTTAATATTGATATATTGAAGAATATGTTTGAACAATGCCCTCAAAAGTGTCTATTTCTATAGATAAAGTTAACAAGATGTGGAAGGGGAATAAGTTTTACTTACAAGATTGAGACTGAACTGAAAGTGGATTTAAAAATGACTGTCAAGCATGGGAAAACCAGAAGTCCAGGCAGTTCAAATAAATATAAAGGTTTATTGCAAACCTATGCTCTCTACAAGAATCTGAACTACTAATGGTCAAAACAAATGGGCGGTAGATAAGAGTCAATGGAATTCAAAGTTCCTGGGGGCTGGGGAGGGCAGAAATGAGCAAAAAATGGAGCGTTTTTGCCCACCTCCAGCAGCACTCTATAAGCGTCCATAAGGCTATGCATGCAATTTTTTTGACAAAAAAATGGCCCGTTTTCTTGAAACTCATTCGTTCATTCGTTCGTTTGTGGTTAATCGTTCATCATTCATCGGTCGTGGTTTGTTTGTGAGAGGCACTTGGATAAGTGATTTGCTTTCTGTAACCCTGATTCAAAGAGACACTTGGATAAGTGATTTGCTTTCTTTCTGTAAACCTGGTTTTGTGGTAAGAGCTATGTGTTTTTGCATTATGCTGCATAACCCTTGTTGCCAGAGACTTTATTTATGTTTATTTTGGGCTCGCAGCCAGCGTGAGCCAGGACTGATAAAGTTATTTCCTTTTAAGTCTGTCTGACTGTCGTCTGTGAATGAGTGAAGAAGGGGGGGTCAGAACACCTACCTACCTACTTTCTCTCTCTCCCCCCCTACCTGTCTACTGTATTTATCTCTACTTTCCTTTCTCTATCCCTCTACCTACCAACCTACCTACTCTCTCTATCCCTACCTATCTACTGTATCTCTCTCTCTCTCTCTCTCTCTCCCTCCCTCTACCTACCTACCTACCTACCTACCTACGTACACTCTCTCTACCTACCTACCTACCTATGTACTGTATTTCTCTCTCTCTATCTATCCCTTTATCTACCTATTTACTAACTATTCTCTCTCTCTTTCCCTCCTTACCTACTGTATTTCTCTCTCTTTCTCTCTCTCTCTCTCTCTCTCTCTCCCTCCCTCTATCTACCTACCTTTTTTTAAAAAAATGCCTCTTCAAAACCTGGGTGCGTCTTATACTACAGTGTATGTTATACTCCGAAAAGTACAGATAGATCTCTTGTGGGCAGGAAGGGACTTGAGACTGATGGTGAGACTGACAAGCTACAAGAATGAATGGAAAAAGATGTTATTCTGGACATAGAAAAGAAACCAGATAATGTCTTGATAATTAAAAAAGATATATAAGTTACAAACCAAGAGAGAGACCTAGATAATATTCCTATATTGGATTTACAAAAGAGACTTGTGAAAACTTTGAAGAAATATATGTGAGGGAACCAAGAAAAGTAATAATACAAAAATCAAATTCTAGGACATTATTTGAAAGGACCAAATATCAAGGTTTATAAAAGTAAAGGGAAGAAATGTAAAGTTAGATTATTTGGTCAAAGTTGAAATAAATATGTTATCTCTGATAATCCTTAATGGACTTTTGCTAATTGGGACTGAAATGACAAGACTTGAAGGATTTCTTTTCAGCTAAAAATGGGATATGAGAAGAAGACAATAGTAGTTATATTTTAAGAGAAGATAATATTGTGGTTTATTAGCAGTTGAAAAACTATTGAATAAAACTGACTTGTAAAAACTTAGCTTTGCTTTTAAGGTTTTCGAAGAGTTGGCATTTGGCCAATGAGCATAAAAAATGCAACAGGGGAAAGTCAGATTTATATTTAAATAACATTTTATGTGCTGTTCCCTATTGCCTTATTGAATTTTGGAGTGGTTTATCAGCAATGCTTCAGACTACATTATACATTATTCAGTTCTTTAATGTAGTTGGCATCATTAGCATGACTTTATTTAGTACCTTTTGGTTAGGATTCCAGAAATCCTAGAGACTAACCCTGAACGTTTTAGAAACATTGGTTAGCAGTTGGCAGTTTTAAAAGTGGTTGTTAACAAAACCAGATAAGTCTTGTTTTTGCAGTTCTATCCCTGAAAAGGAAGATTTCTTCCCTTCTTCCAAATGTGCAGGTATGCAAACAAGCTCTTTGCAGGTTCTTCTCTCGCCACCAAAAGGCCATGGAAGGCTCTGTCAAAGGTGCTTTTTCAAAAGGCAACTAGGCTACGTTTTTCCCTTGATGAAGAAGAATATGTTTCGCTTCTCATCCAAGAAGCTTCATCAGTTTTTACAGCACTAGCACTTAGACTTATATACTGCTTCATAGCGCTTTACAGCCCTCTCTAAGCGATTTACAGAGTCAACATATTGCCCCCAATATGGATCCTCATTTTATCAACCTCAGAAGAAGGGAAAGCTGAATCAAACATGAACCAAGGAAAATTGAACTGCTGGAAATTGGCAGTCAGCAGAATTAGCTTGCAATACTGCATTCTAACCACTGCACCACCACACCTCCTGATGAAGAGGCAAAACATCTTCCTCCTCCTCAAAGGAAAATCATAGTCTAGTTGCCTTTTGAAAAAGCATCTTTGAGCCAACCATGACCTGGATGACTGAGACACTCCATAGACACCATGGAGGGACTTTTATTTAGTGCATGGAGTCTGCATTCTTGGAGGATCATTGCCATGGTCATCTGCATACAGCCACACCCTCCTTATGGATCTTCAGTTAATTTAGGGAATGTTGATAAGGAAGGGATTACAGCATGTTTCTCATTCATCTTCCGTATATTCTACATGTTGATGCATCAAGAAAGCTTCAGGTCTTATCATAAATCAAATGAGGAGCATAAATGCTTCTTGAGATACATTTGAAACAGGGTGATATACACCTACCTTCCCTATCAGTTCACAAATATGAGCATGTGCATGTGCACAGCCTTCCGCACATGCGCTTTTGTGGAAAAATGGGCTAAATGGGATGCTATAGAACCATGCATGAGTGGACAGGGCCACCCGCAATTTCCGCTACTGGTTCAGGCGAATCGGTCCGAACCAGTGGAATACCACCTCTGATTTGAAAGCCTTATTACAAGATGAAGAATCCCCAATTTCAAGATAGTTCCCCAGGTTTATTAACACTAAAATGTCTACCAGTGTTAAGGAAAGGTAAATAATTCCAGAGGAAAGAAAGAAGAAGCATACAAAGTGGTTTGGGCGGGGGAGAAGTCCTGATTTGCAACTGTGACATAAAGCAGAAGATGGGAACATCTGTGGCTTCCACATCTTGCTGAAATACAGCTCCATCATAGTTGAGCACCTGCAGAGATGGTGGGGAAGTCATACTGTTTGGATAGTGCACAGTAATACCTGCTATGCTGGGAGATAAGCAAAAGAATTTGTGCTAAAAGCTCTCAGTGTCTGTGATTCACTTCAGTGGAACTAAAATGTCCTCATAAAATACAAGCAAATCTTAGAGCAATAACTTTTCTTTGCAACCACTCAGAAATCTAGGAGACAAAACCAGTAGTAATCACAGATTTCTATGCTTTGTGGGAGGCTTCAAACTGCTGCCATATGCAGCTGCAGGTAGAGAAAGTTGACTTTTAATTTAGACCTGAAGACGGACAAATGTTGCTAGCACTAGTCCACAAATTGGAAGGAAATACGTTGGGTAAAGATTGTTTATATTTCCTTATTTTATTTGTATCCCACATTTGTTATTTTTGCAAATAACTCAAGGCGTTGAACGTATCCAAATACATCTGCCTCCTCCTATTTTCTACACAACACTGTGAGGTGAATTGGGCTGAGAGAGAGAGAGTAACTGCCCAAAGACACCCAGCTGGTTTTCATGGCTAAGGCAGGGCTAGAACACACAGTCCCCTGGTTTCTAACCTGTGCCTTTACCACCAGACCCGTGATGACGAATCTATGGCACATGTGCCAGAGGTGGCACACAGAGCCCTCTCTGTGGGCATGTGGACTGTCGCCAGCTGGTCTTTGCATGCACCATAGCACCGAAAACCCAAAGGCCAGCTGGCCAGTGTGCATGCGGGCACCGGCCAGCTGATCTTTGGGTTTCTGGTGCTCAGGTGCACACACGTGCACACACACACATGTGTTCTAGTTTGGACACTCGGTGCCAAAAAAAGGTTTGCCCTCACTGCACTAGACCAATGGTTCCCAAACTTGGCAACTTTAAGACTTGTGGACTTAAAGTTGCCAAGTTTGGGAACCACTGCACTAGACCAAATGTTTTCTTGCACTGAAGCTATAATCTCTCCAGTGGTACAGTTAATTGCATTTGTGATTTATTTATATTTCAGGTATATTATTTCTCTTCCAGAGAAGCAACGTGCAGCTAACCCAAACATTTTCTGGCTTCTAAAGTTTTTTATACAGTTTCAATACAATTTTTTTTTCTATTTCAGCGATTCACGAATTTCCTCAGGATTTTTTCAAAAACAAAGAAAGGCAGCAAGGAGCAATATTGCTTCATATTCTTGGTGTAAGTATTCCTAGGACATCTGAAGCATGTTCAAAATATACTCCTCAATTACTTATTTACATTGAGCGTGGTGGCTCATATGGTTAGGATATTGAGTTGGAGGCTGCCAAGCCCGTGTTCAAGACCCGAGTGCTGCTGCGCGTTGGGATGACCCTCCAGTCATTTGCTGCAGCTCCTTGATGGTGATATGAAAGGATCCCCCATGGATGCATCCCGGGCAATGGTGATGTCACTAATCTTTTCAACCCAGATGGTGCCTCCAACATGAATGGGACAGGGGGGACCATATCCGTCTCTTCCAGAAGGCTTAGGAAACATACATTTTATTCAGGCAAAGGTTAGGCTTAACGGGAATGATATTAGATTCTTTAAGAGAAAAGCAAAATATCCTAAGGTTATTGCAGGAAGAGTAGGATAGAAATAAAAATGTTCTGAAGATAGGCAACTCACTTATGTATGCATAATATATATGAATCTAATATATTTAAATAAATTAGAAGACAATTCACAACCTCCAATTGGTGCAAATCCACTGATGTGTTTCCAAGATCAACTCATATAATTTGTTACTCCTCTGAATTTTGTTTTTTGCCGGCTGGATCCATTAGGATCACCAAGATTTGTTCAGGGCAAATTCATCCAACAAAAGTTATTTCCTCATTTAATTGCTATGATTCAACCTCCCTTCGCATCTGTGGCCTCTGGACATCAAAATATTGCCTGCAAGTGGCCCTTACCATCTGCTTAAAGTTTTTAACATTTGCTCTATTTTATTGTTGCTCCTTAAAGATTTTGGTTTATATTTCTGGCAATTCACCTTTGCTCTTTTTTTCTCAAAAAAATAATAATCTTGAGAAACCTTTGTGACTTGAAAAGCAGTACAGTATAATAACAAAACGCAGCTTAATTTTGGATTCCATTTAGCCACTTAACATTGGAGATGGGGCTGCTTCCAAAGAATGTCTAGGCTGAACATTTTGTAGTTTAAAAATACAATAGGATGCAAAAGACTGTATGAGGCTGCCAGTATTTTCTTGTGCCTATATTACTTGTATTTAGTTTATTTTGTAATATTTTAATGAATATATCTGCTGTGTGTTTTTTTTCTACAGGCTCTGTATATGTTCTATGCCTTGGCTCTTGTATGTGATGATTTCTTTGTTCCATCTTTAGAAAAAATTTGTGAGGTATGTGAAAATAATTTTCGTATTTCTAAATCAGCTTGTGATATGCTAAGAGAGACACCTTGAAGGGATGCAGGCTGACCAAATAAGCCCTCAGATTGTTAACATGTTGCCCTATGGATAGCTTGCTCCTATTTGTTGAATTCTATTCTGAAAGATGTTTAAATATCTAAACAACTCAATCTCAAACAAAGATTGAGAATCTCCTTAGACGGGGCTTGTATATTACCACATGTGGTGTACATGTCCGAAAGCAAAAATAAAATAAAATACTGGACTAAAATACACACCTGGCTAGAAAAAATGCTAAAGGAATATATAGATTTAAAACCAGGAATATTTCTGTTGGGCATCATATCAGACAAATACAGTAAAAGGAATGCACAGTTAATAATACATGTGTCCAGAATTGTGTTTGCACAACATTGGAAGGGCAAGGAGATCCCCACAGAGGAAAAGATAATAACAAAAATTTTAGAATGTGCAGAAATGAATAAATTAACATTTGAAATTAAAGAAAAGGAAGACACTGAATATTTTGATGTATGGGATATGTTTTATAGATGGTAAAATAAGAGAAACAGGAGTTAGAACTTCTAAAGGTACAAGAGAAAGATTAATTTTATTATTAGGATTGATTGCTGTAACTTATTAATTTTGATTAATTCCAATTAGTAATAATTAATGTGTATTAATATTATGAGGGGAAAACACTGTTATTATGAAATTAGTATTAGAGAACACTATTGTTATTACTGTGATGAATATTAGTCAAAACCAGACAATACACTAGCTATATGGATTTTGAACATGTTGCTCTTTCTATTTCTATTTATTATCTATTTATATTAATAAAAAGGGGAAAAAATAAAATAAAATGATTACTTCTGAGAGCTGAAACGTTCCACCACCGAAAAGAGGGGGGGAGGGAGGGGGAGAGAGAGAGAGAGAGGATGAATATATCTCCTCAGACTTTTAAATCTCAAACAAAATATTTGGCTTCGCTTCCCCTTCTTCATCAGTTGTATAGATTCTTTAAGCTGGGCTACAGCTAGTGAAAAGTTGAATTCTTCTCTTTATTTTCCCCCAGAAACTACACCTGAGTGAAGATGTTGCAGGAGCCACATTTATGGCGGCTGGAAGTTCAACCCCCGAGTTATTTGCATCAGTCATAGGTAAGTGAATATACAAGATATGCAAATTCTTCCCATAGGCAGATCATAAAAACAGCTACTCTACAGTTGATTTTCTGCGATTTTTAGAATAACTGTACCAGTGGCTATTTTGGATATTGTTAGGAGTCTTCCATTTCCACTAAACCTTACCTGGTCCTGGTTTACCAGAGTGTGGATGACATCAGGAAAATAATTATATTTGACTTTATATCTGTCAAATTAACATTAAATGCAGCTAATGTGATTATGTCTATAAATAATTGTCCTGTCTGTCATGTTATAATTATAATAATAGACTTGTGTATCTTTCCACCAAGTATACATTTGCTTGTTATTGTAGATATCCTTGCATAGCCCATCTCATCTCCATAGTTCATATATTCATTTGTCTTCCTTCCCCATCCTACAGTATAAATAGCAGTAAAGCCCAAGCCATCTGAAAAGGTTTTCTGCTGTTAGTGTAATCTTGATGGAGTCATTATCTAACACAGGAATCCCGAACCCCCAGTCTGTGGACTGGCACCGGGCCACAGCATGCTAGAAACCGGGCCACACAAACAAGCGAAGCCCCATCCACAAGATGCAAACAGCACGGAAATCCCTCCCCACAGTCCACAGAAATACTTCTCTTCACAGAATCAGTCCCTGGTGCCCAAAAGGTTGGGGGTCATTGATCTAACAGATATCAGTAATAAACAAAATTCTAATGCAAGTGAAGCCAGGCAAACCACTTTTGTGTGCAAGCATATACTTGTATGCACAAAAATCCCTCTATTTCATCCTTGTCCTGGGGAAGCAGTTTTGCTTAGCAACAGTTTCCTCCTGGTCCTAATGGAACCAAAAAATAATTGGGGCAGAGGAAAGGGAGGAAGATGTGGGAAGGTGCAATTCCATACACTTTCCATCTACCTAATCTAGAGTTTGGGATTGTACAGGTAATCTTTGATTTACAACAGTTCATTTAGTGACTGTTCAAAGTTACAACAGCACTGAACAGCACTGAAAAAAAGTGACTTATGACAATTTTTCACACTTACGATCTTTGTAGCATCCCCATGATCGTGTGATCAAAATTAAGATGCTTGGTAACTGGTTTATACTTATGACCATAGCTGTATCCCAAGGGTGTAAAAGGTGATCATGTGATCACTTTTTGCACTCTTCTCACAAGCAAAATCAATGGGGAAGGCAGATTCACATAACAACCATGTTACTAACTTATCAACTGCGGTGATTCACTTAACAACTGTGGCAAGAAAGGTTGTAAAATGGGTCAAAACTTACTTAACAAATGTCTCACTTAACAACAGAAATTTTGGACTCAATTGTAGTCGTAAGTTGAAGACTACCTGTATGATCCTGAGTGGTTATGTCACTCTTCTCACTCGCTAAGTGTGAAAAATGGTCATCAGTCACTTTTTTCAATGCCATTGTAACTTTGGTCACTAA